AAATTAGCAATGATTTATAATTAGATGCCGAACTATAATAGCGTTGCAAAACCCGCCTAGTAAATTCTCAAGTCGGATTCATACCGACTTAAATTAAACTATCCTAAATTAAATTGTTAGCCCGCGCCCTGATGGGGTCTGCCGAGCAACGCAGTTTGATGGGGGGGGGCATTTTGCCCCCCCCCCCAAGATCTCGAGAACCACGCAACATAGCGACAAGCGGCAAACGGCGTTGGATAGCCCCAACGGGGAACTACCTTGTGACCCAATTTCATTGACCTCGGTCAAACCGATGACGTCACAGGTCAGGTCAAAGGTCGAATTTTCACCGTTTACAGGCATTTCATGAAATGCGTTGTAAAATCGAGTAAAATGCATTTCATTGAAAATCATCGATGGGGAAATGTTTGTCAAACACATATTTTGCTATTTGAGGTCAGTGACACCAGGTCAGGTCACAGAGGTAAGGTCACTGAGGGTCACAAAGTAAAAATATCATGTGATGCATGTTTTATGGTCCATTTTGTATGCCAAATGAGATTATGTGGGACATGCAGCCCTTGGGGTCAGTTGAGATTATGTTTTGGTGAAGGTCAGGTCAAGGTCAGGTCAAGGTCAGGTCAAGGTCAGGTCAAGGTCAGGTCAAGGTCAGGTCAAGGTCAGGTCAAGGTCAGGTCAAGGTCAGGTCAAATAAGGTCAAATTTTAATGTCGGTATTTTTGCATAAAATGGGTATCGATTCGATGCAGCTCGTCACGGGGAGTTCAATGGTGGTCTCCGTGTTGCGTTACGAGGTCTAGAATTGCTAAGAATTGAGTTCAAAAATTTGACGTAATCAATTTTTAAGTTTTTTTCGCTAAGGTATCGATCTTAAATTTGGTATGTATATTGTATATCGAAGAGCGCAGGGACTATCACATATATTCCGTTTTTTCGAAATTGGAAAAAAATGGATTTTTTTTTTAGTTTTCTAAAAAAAAACATCTTATTTTTGGGGTCAAAATCCCAAAATTTCGAAAATCCGTGATAGCAAAATTGCTTGTTTACTGTAGAATTGGTGAGCGTTTCAAGATGTCATGTTTTTTGCTCATTTTTACTCGAACATGACCTCAGTTTGACCTCAATAACTCCTGACCTGAGGTGACCTGTGACATGAAATTTTGTGTGAAGGTGTCAAATTGATGCCCGGTAAGGTACACAAAATTTGGCGGCGCTGCGCGCCGCCTTATCGGCTGACTCTGGCAATCGCTGCATTTCGTAACGACGGACACAATCGTTTCTTTCGTGAGGCTCTAGCTCAATTAGGGGCGAATCGGCGAAGGGGGTTGTTCCCTCACTTCCAACCCCCCAACGCCCCCTCGGTATTCAGAAAACCTGAAGGTGCGGTGAGGGTTAAAACGTTGCTCCTGAACGAGGAAGAAATGTAAAATTCAAAGCTCTTTAGACATCTTGTAAAAGTGGCTATAATAAATAAATTGGTTAGAGATAAGATGCTTTTTAAACGACTTTCTCATATAAAATCGGGTGCTGGGACCAATCTCATAAACGCTTTAGAATGAACAGGGGTCACTGGCTAAAGTTTTGGTGCAGAAAACGGCTAAACCCGCGCGGGGCTGGGGTCTCCAGCCGAACGCGCGGGGCCTAGGGGGGTAAATTTTACCCCCCCCCCTGTTATCTCCCGAACTAATGGTCCAATTTGGAAAATTCGAACGCCAATCGAAAGATCTCATCACGAACAACTAAAACATGTACTTAATTTAAAGTTTGAGGTCAAGGTCAAGGTCAGGTCAAGGGTACAAATTGCAAGTTCCTACAGTATCGGCATTGCACCGTAGTTGCCGAAGAATGGAGTCATGGACTGAGACTGATTGCCTAAAACGTGTTCTTAGGCTACCAAGACAATATTCGTTGCATACAATATCATTCAGAGGTCAAGGTCAAGGTCAGGTCAGGTCAGGTCAGGTCAGGTCACCAAAAAACAAAATATAGAAAAGGGCATGTGCGACACATGTTTTATGGGCCATTTTACTCATAGAATTCAATAGGCACACTCAATAAGTGATATGGACCATCTCTGGATGAATTTCAGGTCGAAGTCAGGTTAAGGTCAGGTCAAGTGAGGTCAAATTTTGAAGTTGGTTGTTAAGGCCTAAAAAGGTGTCTATCTGATGCCGTTTTTCACGGCGAATCGAATGGTGCTATTTTTGTCTCCGTACGAGGTCTAGAACTTCAAAAAAATTCATTTTTCAAAAATTCTGTGTGTCGTGACGTCATAAAATGTTTAATAACTCCCACATTTTTGAACCGATTCTTCCAAAAATTGGTTTGTAGGTGCACATTGACCAGTGACCACTTCTCTGACATATATTCTGTTTTTTTCGATAAACTCAAAATTTTGGATTTTATAATTATTTTCCCAAAAAAGTCAGTTTTTTGGAAAAATTTGGGCTAAAATCCAAAATTTTTAAAAACCGAGATAGCCATTTGATAGACAAAGTAAAATTACGTATAACCTTTTTGTTACGTCTTGATTCCTTTAAAAATGAAGATGTTAGCGGCGTTTGAAATTTTGCCGGCTTTGAGGCGAAAATGGCGAATATGACGTCACTAAAACAACAATTTCTCAACAATTTTTCGACAGATTTCGCTCAAATTTTCAGGGAACGTGGCAAATTGATGTAAGAAAAGTTACTGAAAGTTTGGCGGCGCTGCGCGCCGCCGTTTTCGAGATATTGCAAAAATTCGCGAGGGGGTAAAATTGACCCTCCAGCCCCGCGCGGGTTAAATGCAAAATGGTTTTCATGCATTTCAGTCAATTGTTTATTGACAGTCCCAGTGGCCGAGCTAAAAAAGTTCGGTAGTGTTTTGCATCTTTTACGTCCTAAGAAACTACACCAGCTATTGAAGTGGGCGGCCTTATTTGAATGGGAGGGCGCATTATGCACCAATCGTGTGCTTCCGTTTGTTTTGGACTGCATTTTACCACATTCACTGCTGTGGTAAAATGCATGAATACGACATTTTCTGATGTCGTGAATACGACAGCATTCCATTTATAAGATTGGGGCAATGGAGTCATGCCCCGCGGGTTTTCCGCTCGGCCGCTACGGGCCGAGGAAGTTTATTTTCGCCTGAGGGCAGGACGGAGGTCAGCGAGGGAGCGCAGGGTCAGCCAGGTATCGCCCAGTGCCGAGCGGATGCCACTCCCTCCCCTCTTCTCCCCTCCCCACCTCGGTATAGATGGGGAGGGACCGAACTGCCAATGCTCGGGGTTACATGAGTAGAGTTAATACGCATTACAAACGGACTACAATGGTGAGCGAATAGGAAAATCCGTTCCTGATACGCATTTACTTGCTCATGTAACCCCGGTAAAATGACATGCGAGCGGTCAAGGCCGCTCGCGCGGCAGCGACCCTGGCGGCCGGGTACCGCAACTGGGATTCAGCCAAGTTACCGATTCGCCTCCTGTGGGAGACCCAAACCAGGGGACATACTTTTTAGACATACTGTACCAGAGTGCAAACTCCCCTACAGCAAATGATAAAACCATTACAGGTTTTCAAAGGCTTCACCACTTTCAATGTTGCTGGGCATCCTTTGCATGATTTTTACAGGCTAGACTGCTTATCAGAATGTGAGATTAAGGATTTAAAATTTTATATTTGAGTACTTAAGAGTGAGCTTGAAATCTCACAGCCGTGGCCACAGCCGTAGCCGTGTTCTTGGAGATATTTGCAGCCGCCCCGGCCCACAGCCGTGGGGCTGCAGCCAGCCGCGGCTGCAGCCGGCCGGTGCAGACCTCTACTATGATGGTGACACTCGTCAAATAATAATAAAGAGTGGAAAAAAGACATACTCGCTCCCTACTTCCCACCCCCCTGGTCACCGGTCATCTACCATACCCGGCAAATCATCCAAAAATGCGACCCTCCCCCCAAAAAACTAAACCTAGTTCTGGGTCCGTATCAAAGCGTCCAAAACCGCAGCACCCAAAGTACGCAACATCCAAAACCGCAGCGTCCAAAGTACGCAACGTCAAAAATGCGTCCAAAATCGGGTTTATAGGGGCATTCACAAAGTCCAAAACCGAAACATCCAAAACCGCAACGTCCAAAAACGTATCATCCAAAAAACGCAACATCCAAAGACGCAACATCCAAAGTACGTAACCTCCAAAACCACAACGTCCAAGACCACGACATCCAAGGCACGCAACATCCAAAACCAACCTTGCCTAACCTAACCTAACCTAACCTAACCTAACCTAACCGAACCTAACCCAACCTACTGATTTTTGCCTATCCCTAACCCAAACTAACCTAACCTCACCTAACCTACTGATTTTTGCCTACCGGGGATAAGGAAACCCAACCTAACCTAACCTAACCTAACCTGACCTAACCTAATCTAACCTAACCTAACCTAACCTAAGCTAACCTAACCTAACCTAATCTACTGATTTATGCCTACCGGGGATAAGGAAACCTAACCTAACCCAACCTAACCTAACCTTACCTAACCTGACCTAACCTAATCTAACCTAACCTAACCTAACCTAAGCTAACCTAACCTAACCTAATCTACTGATTTATTCCTAACGGGGATAAGGAAACCTAACCTAACCTAACCTAGCCTAACCTAACCCAACCTAACGGTTTTGGATGTTGCGTACTTTGGATGTTGCGTACTTTGGATGTTGCGTACTTTGGATGATGCGTCATTGGATGTTGCGTTTTTGGATGATACGTTTCGGATGTTGCGGTTTTGGATGTTTTGGTTTTGGACGTTGTTAATGCTCCCTATATACCCGATTTTGGACGTATTTTGGACGTTGCGTACTTTGGACGCTGCGGTTTTGGATGTTGCGTACTTTGGATGCTGCGGTTTTGGACGCTTTGATGGTCCCCCCTAGTTCTACCGTTGCGAGTCTCTCTCCTTATCTCGCCCCTAGTCTGTGCGACTGGCTAATACACGTAGTGCTGTCCTCACTGCCGGCAGATCCAGCCTCCACTGGACGACTACCCCTGCTTCATGCTGATTGAGACGTCCGGGAGCGACGAGCAACATGATCAGGAGAAGCTGACCCGTTTCCTGGAGAATACCATGGAGCGTGGTTTGGTGATGGATGGGACACTGGCCTCCAACTCGCGCGAGACAGTGGTCAGTTGCAGCAGGGTGCACAGGCACATTGCCACTTGTAACTCGGTCATTCCAATCACTTAACCCTATTCCTGGCGGGGGGGGGGGGGCCTCAGGAGCCCCCCTGAGGTTTTTTGGTTATTTCTCCCAAACGCGTTGAGCTAGGAAGCTCAAATTTTCTGACTTTTCCTAAAAGGCTTCTACGCAACATGTCTGAAAATTTTGAGCTGATCTGACCTCAGGTCAGGTCACCAGAGGCGGTTTGGTGACCCTACCTCAGAAAAGTTTGCAATCACGCCAGAGCTAGAGTTTTTGACCGATCAATTTCTTCTCTTCAGGCTTTAGTTAGGGTACCAGTATGTGCAATTTGTATATCTCGGAATTTTGATATCGGTGACCTAAGGTCAGGTCAGTTTCGCGACCTCCCCATTATAAGTCAATGGGGGAAAAATCAACTCCCTGTTTTTACCACTAAAACGGGTCGGAATGGCCCCATATACCATACATGACTTCATATACGATCAACCTTCACTACCTTGAGGTCTGTTTTGCTGTTGGGCAGCTGTGAGGTCATGTGACGTCATCAAAGGTCACCAAAGGTTTTTGGCCAATAACTCCGTACAGGAACAAGATACAGACGCGTGGATGGTCTCATTGTGTTCAGCTCGTCAAGACGCATCGAATGATATACATGATGACCTCGAGGTCACGTGACCTGAGGTCAACCTTTGACCTTGACCTTTCGAGGTCAACATATATATCATTCGATGCGGATTGACGAGAGGATCACGATGATGCCCTTAGTTTGTTCCTATCCTGACTAATTCGAAAGTTATTCGAGAAAAACTCTCTCCATATCTAGCGCCGCCATTTTGAGTTTTTCGACCCCTGTGACGTCATCTTTGACCTGACCTGAAAATGACCTTAGTAAAAATTGTAGATCTTGACCGTGCGTATCCGATGCCGTTTACCGCTTGTCGCTATCTTGCTTCGTTCTCGAGATCTCAGGGGGGGGGGGCCGAATCGGCCCCCCCCGCCAGTTTCTTGTCCCGGTGGAGCCCGCCAGGAATAGGGTTAACCCGCGCCCGGCTGGGGGTCCTGCCCCTGGATTTCCACGCCCTGCTGGGGGGGGGGGTGTTTGAACACCCCCCCCTTCTAACTCGGCTCCTGAGCCACGTAGCGATACGCGGAAGGCGGCGTTCGAAAGAGCGTCAAAAAATAATGAGGAAATCACTTCGGTCAATTTTTTGGTCAGGTCAAAGGTCAGGTCACCAGAGGTCATTGAAGGCAAAATTTCGCCGATTTCCAGGTCGAATGTCGACAATTTCCAAGAAGCCAACGCATAACTCGGGAACCAATAGAGCTACAGCGCCGCGGAAAAGCGCATTCGATAGCCCTATGAACGCCCTTTCTGAGTGATCTTCTCAGATTTGACCTAACGTCAACGGTTTTGCCTGCAGGGGGCAAAAACTGCAAAAATAGCCGATTTTTCGGAAACAGTTTTTTCTGCAATAACTTTTGACCCAAGCCTTGTACGAGCTTACTTTTACCGACATCGTGTTCCGCTCATCAAGACGCATCGAATGAACTATAGCTTGACCTTGAAAGGTCAACTTGAAAATTTGACCCCAGGTCAAGGTCATCACCTGACCGGAAAGGGTCGTGTTGCATATCAGTCGATCCGTATCGTCGAGCTGAACACATCTAAGGAGTTTTCATCGCTCTAGCATGCCTCTATCAAAAGTTATTTGCGAAAAACTTAAATACCATTCGTGACCTAAGATGACCTCAGGGCATAAACAGGGGTCACGGACACCATTTTCATGTTCAGTGTGTCTAAACCACTTGTAATTCAGTGTTTGGGAGTGTTTATAATGTCTTTCGTCCAAAAGAGGCGCATTTCAATTTTCTCTCATTGACTTATAATGGGGAGGTAGCAAAATTGACCTGACCTTAGGTCATCGATATCAAAATTCTGAGATATAAATTTTGTACATGCTATTGCTCTTAGCAATCGCTGAAAGTTTCAAAGCGATCGGTCACTTGGTGTAGCTATGACAGACATTGAAACTTTTTATGAGGTGAGGTCACTTCAAGTGACCTGGTGACCTGACCTTGAATGACCTTGGTCTGAAATTTTCACAACATGTGTAGAATTGATGTATGATAAGGTGTACTAAAAACGGCGGCGATCCGTGCCGCCGTTTTTGATATATTCGCGAAAAACCACAAGGGTGTTCAAACACCCCCCCCCCCAGCAGGGCACGGGTTAAAGTCTAACATTAAAAGTGCAATGAATGAGTGCTCTCTCTCTCTCTCTCTCTCTCTCTCTCTCTCTCTCTCTCTCTCTCTCTCTCTCTCTCTCTCTCTCTCTCTCTCTCTCTCTCTCTCTCTCTCTCTCTCTCTCTCTCCTCTCTCTCTCTCTATCTCTCTCTCTCTCTCACAGAGGCAAAGTGACATATATATATATATATATATATATATATATATATATATATATATATATATATATATATATGTTACAGGCAAAGTGAAAACTCGGGCATTTTGCAAAATGCCTAGGCAATTTGCAAAATGCCTGACCGGCCAGGCATTTTGCAAAATGCCTAGGCAGTTTGCAAACTGCCTGACACACCAGGCATTTTGCAAACTGCCTGAAATATTTTCCCAGGCATTTTGCAAAATGCCTGACATCAAACTCGCACTAGCCGTGATGTATAAGTAAGCATCATTTCTAACTGGCGCTTACAAAAGTTAACCGCTGTCAATGCGCACCAAGTGAGAAGACACTGCGTTCTCCGGGTAGCGCCGCCGAGTTCAGGTCACTGAGCCCCAGCGGCCATCGGGTGCCGAGCACCGGGCGTGGTTTCGTGGGTAAACATGCGCTCGGTACAATAATTGCGCTGTTTCTAAAGGCCTGGCTACACTATGCGTTTTCTGCGTGCGTTTTTTGCAGGTTTGCGTGTTTTGCGTAATATCGTTCTAGGAAAAAAGTTATAAACAATATAATTTTTACTTTGGTTATATACAAAAGCTAATATAACTCTTATGTAACTAAAATTTAAGGTGAAAAACATCACAAAAACGTAATATCGTTCTTATTTCTAGAACGATATCACGCAAAACACGCAAACACGCAAAAAACGCACGCAGAAAACGCATAGTGTAGCCAGGCCTTAAGAGCCCTTGGTGACTTTTTGAAAATACTGTGGGTGGATATTGAACACAAAAGAATACTCTATCAGTATCAAATTACGAAAAATTGATCGTTACACGTTTACATTATCAATCATCTCTGCCAGAACATTAGCCCACCAGAGCAGAATACTGGACATCGCAGCTTTTATACAAACGGCTACAACTGTCAACTCCGTATATACGAAAGGTACGGAGACGGTGGCTCAAGTCCATTCAGTGGTAGTTCCATCTCGACGGAATGACGCAAGACGTAGTTTACAGATATCACGAAATTGATGCGCGGTTGGCACGGTCTGTTATGTTGTCCATTCCATGTCCCTCCTAAGTGCTGAATGGGTGTAATTTTAACGGGTTCAGCACCAGGGCATCTGGACCAGGGCGCTCGGCATCTAAATCGGCCATCCCCCGGTATCTGAAGACCTTACCATGAAGCTGAGGCCGCTAAACCTCAGGCTGCAACCCTGACTTTATACCGTCATCCAGAAAAGATGCAGCTGGATTTCGCCAAGACTCACCAAACCTGGACCGTTTAGGACTAGAGATTCAGACTTTTTCAGTGATGAGGCGATATTAGAGCTTTTCTAAGTCACTAACCATCCCGACAAACAGTTCTGGGCCAACAACAGCTCAGAGGCGCTGCACCGTCGAGACAGTGAAGCATCCACTGGCGATTCTCGTTTGGGGCATGATGGGCTACATAGGCCTCTTTGAGCTTCACCATGTGCCGCAGGGACAGACCACGTGGCCGGTGATAACTTGTCAGCGAGATGCTGGAAAACACTGACGCAACTACGAGCAATCAATTTCGGGACACAAGTACAATATATCCCGCAACAATTTCGTAACACCCTGTATTCGTGACACCCCTGTATTTGGGCTCAGGCTCAGGCTCAGTGGAACGTTTATGGTCAACGCCTGAAGTCAACAAAAACGGTGGAATATATGGAAACTCAGGCATTTTGCAAAATGCCTGGCGGGTCAGGCATTTTGTAAAATGCCTAGGCAGTTTGCAAAATGTCTGGTGGGTCAGGCAGTTTGCAAACTGCCTAGACGTTTTGCAAAATGACTGGCAGGTCAGGCATTTTGCAAACTGCCTAGGCATTTTGCAAAATGCCCGGGTTTTCACTTTGCCTGTAACATATATATATGTTCAGCAGTTATTTTGTAACGTCCCTAGGGTCGTTGCAAACTAACTGAAATCGGATACTCCCTGTAACATATATATATATATATATATATATATATATATATATATATATATATATATATATATATATATATATATATATATATATATATATTGCATGTGATGTTGAAAGCCAGAGCGTATTTGCATTTGATTCGTTTCTTTTCAGTTTGTTCTATGTGTCGAATAAGCGTTTTGGTTTCGTTCGGAAGTCGATATATTATATCACCTAATGACATATTGGCTAACCGGTTTCAACGATCATTCGTCATCGTCAGAGCCTTTCGTATAAATAAATAAACACTAGATACATATATCATACACAAAGCAAAATATCCGTCTATGTGCTCAAAATCAGTTTTTTGGGTTTGATATTTAAATCAAAACGAGCTAGCTCGAGCTTTAAAATGATAAAAAACAACGTCATACCAAGCGATGACAACACAGACATCAACCTTGTCATCTACTACAAGAACAGACGAACCAGCAATCTGTTCATGAAGAACAACATGAACTCACCGACTGATTCTCTGCAGCGCACCTGTGTAGTGTACAAGTTCACTTGCCCACATGACGACTGCCGGCGTCATCCAAAACACTACATCGGTGCAACAACAACAACTCTATCGCGACGTCT